CTTTTAAGAATTGTTTAGAACAGGGGTAGGCAACCTTGGCTCTTTTATGACTCGTGGACTTCAACTCCCAGAATTCCTGAGCCAGCACAGCTGGCTCAGGAATTCTGGGAGTTGAAGTCCACGAGTCATAAAAGAGCCAAGGTTGCCTACCCCTGGTCTAGAATGTACCACAAATAATTGATTTAGCAGAAATAATAGTATTATTCAGCACCTGCCATACTGGAAATATGCCATTTAGTTTATAAGTGAATATTCTGATAGCCAATGTCCAAGATTACTGAACATTTGTCATACTTACCTGGAGTTTCCACAGAATGACCTATGCATTTCTTGTACATAATGTGTGTCTTCTGCTACTGAGCCAGAATTCTGAATGATCACTTACTTGTGCAAAGTGACCCAATGCATCACCAAGTCCAACCGTTTCTCAGCTAAGGCACATTTGATGGCTTCAGTTGTCAAATTTGCAGGAAGATGCTTCTTAACAGCAATGGTTGTAGTTATGAGTGCATCACAATACAAAAGCAGAGGGAGGATCTTCCCTTTAACATGACCAACAGCTGAAGGGAAAAAGCAATATTTTAAAAAACATTTGCTTGCTGCAGTTTGTTTTCTATGCCATCAATTTTATTCAAGCTCAGACCTTCTATCAAAGGAGGATTTGAACTCAGAATGCTATAAATTAAGCAAATGAGCATATTTTTTTTATTTTACATAATTTGAAAAGTTTTATAAAGAACTACAGAAAGGTGTGAAACTAGGAATTATCATATGTGTGGAATGATCAAAACTACTTTTTGGCTATCAATTGCAATTAATTCACATCCAGTATGGCTGTAATCACATCAGAGAATTCTCCAAAAACATTTATATTTTTGACTATGGTTTACTGATATTCAGACTATATACAAAAGGGGAAGATTGCATCTGAGGCTCCATACCCCTAAATTTCTCCATGGTTTCTTCATTGCGTAGGATTCCTCTAGGACAGTTTGCTGCATATGTTGCTGCAGCCTCATACTGACCACGGGAAAACAGTTCATTGAACCTAGCACAGTTCAAAGAACATAACGTTACAAATGAGAGACATGGATGTAAAAACACCTTTATTATTGGCAAAGCCCTAGCTAAGTAAGCTGCAGAGGAAAGACAATCTGAATGAAGTTAAATAACGTGTAAGGTCACTTGGTACTCTGCCCTTGTGCCAAAAAATTGGGACGTGAAAGGAATTAAAAATACATGTTTCAACTTTGTGAAAACCTCCCCATTGCAATAGATAAATCATCATTCAGGTTTCATTACTTTTTCAAGTTCTCTTTTTCCAGAATAAATTCTTGTCCAAACTAAGCTTCTTATCATCTTGATCTCTACCTGCCTAAGTAAATTTTCGCTAGTGACATCAATCCCTGATTTTGTCCTCTACTAATGTCTTATAAGTCCAACTATAAATAGAAGATCTTTAGGGTAGCAGCATATATTTTCATGTTGTTCTATCCAGTACTGTACAAATATCTAATTGCTATATCTGTTTCCCAAATAATTTTTCTTCATTATTAAGCAGGAAAAGTAGCAGCAGTTGTATTTTGCATTGGCCCAATAAAGGAGTATGGTCTGATGCTCTTTGATCCAAACATCTCCTTTGTTTTGTTTTGCCAAGAACAAGACAATATTTTTCAATAATTTTTTGCCTGGGCAAGATATCATCTTCCTACTTAGCCCTCTCTGCTGCAGGGCTCATAAAAAGTCTATGTCTCTGTTTTAACTTCCTGTTAGTCACTATATTGCTATATTGCACTGTGCTTTTGTAGAGTGCATCTAATGTGCTAGGTCACAGTGTTTCTCAACCTTGACAATTTTAAGGCATGTGGACTTCAACTCCCAGAATTCCACAGCCAGCAATGCTGGCTGTGGAATTCTGGGAGTTGAAGTCCACATGCCTTAAAATTGTCAAGGTTGAGAAACACTGTGCTAGGAGATAGGGAATGTGAAAATATTAGGACCAAGTGTGCTTAAAAATGATTTGAAGAAATGCTTCACACTCTGAGTAAGTGCAACCTCTTTGCTCTACATTAAAATAAGACTGCCTTTTTTCAGACCTCTGTACGAGTCTTACAAAAATGTGGCTGCTGTAAGAATGACTAATGAAGCAATTTTTTTAAGTAGCTACTGTTTTCATGCTTGTACAGTTATTTTAGTGACGAACCAAGAAGTGTTGCATTTGCGCAAAGCACTTTTCACATCATATTATGTGCAAACAGTTGGTATTCTTGGTGTACTAAGCAATTTCATTTGCCTGAATAAAGAGACATGATCAGAAGACTCCCTTACTATCTTACCGTTCAATATATTCAATCAGATCTTCTGCCTCTTTACTTTTAGAAGGATCACGTTCAAATACACTTGAGATACTAGAAGCAATTGAACCTGAAAAATCAGATCCATCCACAGGAAGTTAATATTTTACACATTTAGAAAGCAAACAATACATTTTAACCAAATCAAGGGACACATCTGCAGTAAAAACACACTTTCTTTCATTACTTCAAACTGTGGCCTACACTTCAAAGGCTTTGCTGTAGCCTCTGGACCTCTCCTTACCCTGCTGTTAAACCAAAGGTAAGGAAGAAACAGGATACAGGTACCTCAGCTTATGATCATAATCGAGCCTAACCATTGTGGTTGTAAGTCATGACAGTCATAAAGTGGCTCATGTACATGACCAACTTGATTGTACAACCTTTTCTATGGCTGTCATTTTGCAAATGCCATGGTTGTTAAGAAAAAGCAATGGTTCTCTGTGGGCCATTTTTGCCAAAAACCAGAAGTAATTGCCAAGTTTGGGCAAAAGCATTGTAAAATGCAATCATTTGACTGCAGGACAATGGAAATGACCATAAATACAGTCCAGCTGTCGGGTGTCCAATGTGTGGCCACGTGACATTGGGGGGGGGTGATAGTTGGAACTTTGAATATAGTTTGTAAGTAACAGGTAGGTACATCCATCAGAACCTCAAATGGTTGCTAAGTGACTGGCCATAAGTTGAGGAACATACATACATACATACATACATAACATACACATAAGTTGAGGAACATACATGCATGCATACATACATACATACATACATACACACACACATACATACATACATATAAAAACAAATTGTGAAACATAAAATCAGAAAATTTAATGTAAGTCCACATCATAAAATGTAGACAATGAATGGTATCATAATCAGCCACCTTCATTTCAAAGGTTTGGTGGAAAAAGCTAGGGGTGACATGATAGCAGTGTTCCAATATCTCAGGGGTTGCCACAAAGAAGAGGGAGTCAAGCTATTCTCCAAAACACCTAAGGGCAGGACAAGAAGCAACAGATGGAAACTAATCAAAGAGAGACGCAACCTAGAACTAAAGAGAAAATTCCTGACACTTAGAACAATTAATCAGTGGAACAACTTGCCTCCAGAAGTTGTGAATGCTCCAACACTGGAAGTTTTTAAGAAGTGATCGGACAACCATATGTCTTAAATGTTATAGGACAGTGATGGCGAACCTTTTAGAGACTGAGTGCCCAAAAACTGGCTCCGCCCCACTCCACCCCCTGCCTCGCCCCCTGCCCCACCCCCCTGCCCCACCCTGCCTACCCGCAGGGCCACTCACTGCCTCCAGGGCCCGCCGCAGATCACCCAGGCAGCCCAGCAGCGCTATGGTGGTCACGCCCTCTGCCCGCAGCCTGCAGCATTGACTGTGCACGATGGGGTGTGAGGGCAGAGTCTTGTCTACGCTGCCTGGCTGCCATGTCCTTGGCTGCACTGCTCCGCATAAGTCACGCTCAGGGCGACTCTCCTTCGGGGGGCTGCTGGAGAGGAGGGGGTCGTGGGGGGGGACAAGGCTGGGGCAACGGCACCCGTGCCCACAGAGAAGGCTCCGAGTGCCGCCTCTGGCACCCGTGCCATAGGTTCGCCACCACTGGTATAGGGTTTCCTGCCTGAGCAGGGGGTTGGACTAGAAGACCTCCAAGGTCTAGTCTAGTCTAGTCTAGTCTAGTCTATGCTATGCTATGCTATTCAACTTCACCCATTCTGCAAATTAAATGGACAAGAACCAATCTAAGTTGAGAGCATTCAATACATAGGACTGGAGAGGCCCCAGAAAAAGGCCTGCATCTATTCTCACTTCCCTTTGACTTCTTGAGGAGAGGGAATCAGAAGCAAATCTTCTTAGAATGCACAGGGTGGGCAGTTTCTACTTGGGAAAGACAGTTGCAGGTTTTCGATTTTCCATGGCTGATTAATACATCTCGCAAGCAAGCTGAAATGATGACCATTGTGTAAAATAAAAGACTGGTGAGTACACCAGTCTTCAGGTTTTCTGGACAAGGAGAGATTGCCTACGCATGCTCTGAATGACAGGCCCTTGCAAGGAGATCATAAAACAGTTTGAGTTGAGTGCCAGGAGCCAAGGAAGAAGACATCTTTACTTTCAGCAGTAGTAAGGCCTTTCATATAGACATAAAGGCAATAGAAATAACTTTCTAATCATTTTGGAAATGTTCAAATTAACTACTTTATGGATATTAGAGACCTTCAAAATGACAAGTTTAATTTTACACTTGGTGAGTTTTACCCTCCTCTTTTAATTAAAAAATGAATAAATAAATCAAGTTTAAACATTTTAAAATAATATACAACTTCCAAAAAGCAGGAAAAAAAGGAATTTTGATTTAAGAAAATTTTAAACAGATTTAAAGATCAGAGAGATGTGTGATAGTGGTTATTTTTTTATGTAACCCATGAAAACCAAATTATAATTAAATAATATAGTAATGGGAAATGAATGAAATGGAACTACTAAATCCATATTAACAATTGAGGTTTGATGAAAGTTGCAAGTGGACACTAGAGGGAACCAAAGGACCAGACAGAAAGGAGTTAAAATGGCTAAGCCAGCTTTAATTTTTCCTACAGGTTTTTTTTAAAAATATGGCCTAAATATCTTAGAAAGGATACAGATTTTAATGGATAACTGTTTAGAAGATGCAAGAAAAAAATTAAAAAACCTTTACCTGACTTACACCTTATAGTTTGAAAACATGCAAGACAACAAAATTGAGATTACTAAAATGGGAATACAAAAGATAAATTAAGAAAAGAATCTGGATATGTAACAGCTACAACAAAAGAAACTCTTTAAGATTATGCCTCTTTATATGGGAAGAAAAGGATCTGGATCTGGAGCATCTTTGACAAGAAATCCTGGATGATGCCTCTTTATGTGATTTACAAAGTAGGCTGGTGAAAACTTTGAAGACTTCTTTTAAATACTAAAGAGTGATAAAATATCAAATCTTGCAACACCATAGGAAATATTTAAAGGTCAGCTTGCACAGAGCAAAAGAAGAAGAAAAACAATATAAAATTGGACTATTTAACAAGGGATAAACTATTTCATATTTCTAGTAACACCTAATGGACTTCTTGCCTAACCTAGATTGAAAAGATGATTTCTGGCATATAGATAAAAGTTAGGCTATGAGGAGAAGAGGGTTTTTTTTAATCTGTAATTTTAAAAGACTGTGAAAAGTTAGTATATTATGGGTACTTGGTGTGATTCAGGTTGGAAGCAACTTCTTTATTATTGCCTTTGTTATCTTTTTACTTTCTACTTTTTTCTTTTTTCTGCACTTTTATTTTTCTTTTAATTTAGTTTGTATTAATTTTTACTATGTTTATTAATAAAATTATTTTTTTTAAAAAAGAAAAGATAGTCCCACAGGTAACAAGGACCTGTGCCATAAATGGTTTTATAGGTTGTAAACAGCACACTACAAAATGCATCCAGAAACCTATTGGTAACCAATGCAGTTCCTACAATATAGGTATATATCAGAAAGCCCAATAAAGAACAGTAAAGACAATTTAAACCCTATTTCTGCAAATAAATGGCACACAGTTTTTTTCCAGCATAACAAAGACACATTGACTTTTTAGCACACCACCAGAAACATGTTTTTTTCTGATTTGTTGTAAAAAGCTGAAGTCTGATGTGTTTTTACCTTTTATAAGTTTCTCATTTTCTATCATCTGAAATATGAGCTGCTGCAGAGTGTCAATATTCTTGTCTGTATTCTCCCAGATACCAATCACACTTGCAAACAGATTTAGCCGATAAAAACTATAAAAATTAGAATATTGGTTGAAAAGTGACTGTATCAGTATCATCTGTTGATTGAATTCTCCAGGGTTGTCCTTATCACATTATTTTATTCTCTTGTATATAAAAACACAGGACAAGTTTCCTGAGAAAAAGAATTTCCCTAATGTCTAAATTTGTCACGTGGCATGTAATATATACATACATACATAACTAGACTGCAATTATAATTGCAAATTGAATTGAAGCATTTCCTATATTTGCAAATCTCCATGCACAGGTTTTATATGCATAGTATGAAAAAGTCCCTCGCTAGTCTGTATTTACTTATATTTGATTAAGTGGGTTCATTCTCAAACTTAACTTTAGCTTGGGTGCACTATGCCTTACAACATACATTCAGGATACAATACATGAATAAGCTCTTACATTACACATACTAATTAAATTTATTTTTTAATTATCACAATTATTAATATTACACCATATACTTTGTCTATTAATCAAGTACTGGTTATTCTGACTGACAGTGGCTTTCTCAGATTTCATGTGGGGATATTTCGTACTGTAATGTGTGTTGCCAAGAAACAACTGATTGTTTCATAATAATCTATTACTGTAAATTATACCATTTAATAGTATTAGGAATTCCCGGAACTGAGCTTTATATATGCAAAATATTTATTTGTTTGGCTATCCATCTCACAATGGTCATTGTGGCATTGGATGGCATACAAGTCCTGGCATCATGAAAAAAAATAATAATCCCATTTTAGAGAAATACATAGAGAAATACAGCAATAGTAGCAGAGCTCACCTAACATCCTGAACCAAATGCCTGGAGTTAATATATCTTCTATGCATTGATTTCCCTCATTAAACCTGTTAATGGCTGCTATGTTCCAGTTGAGGGTTGTTTTCTGTTGGTGCTAATCTAACCACAAATACTTAGAACATACAATTTTAGAAATTACAATTCTACGATCTATTCTAAGTCACTGTTCTAATCTGATAAAAACAAAGCGGACAAAGTTGCTATGCCCACTATTCAAAAATGAAGAAAAGAGAAAATACTCCAAATAAGTAAGTGCATATTGTAAAAGGAACCTTTATACCAAAACTTCAGGTTTTCATTCTTTTTTTCAGCCATATTTCGCTTTTGAACAGCGTAATTCATGTCTTCTTCAACATTGGCTGTGTTTTCTATGGGAATGTATTTTGTAAACATGTCCTCTTTCAACTCTTTCAACCTTTTTTGTAGATGAGCTAAGTGGTTAGAAAGGACATCTATATCAAGCGAGTCTTTCACGTTAAGCCCTGTTGAAAAAAAGGAGGAGTTTCTATCAGTGATCATATTGCCAATCTGTAAATTCAAACTGTACAAATTCTGTAACACCAAAAAAGCATTCTGTTATTATAAACCAAACTTCAAAGTCAACAGAGAGGTCTGCTTTTTTTGGAACGAATAACTAAAAAAAAGCCACCATTTACAAGTAGAATGCATACTTTATATGGCAGACTCAATTCTACTCCTTCATATATTGCATGTGATAGTTAATTTCAGTTTCATCCTGAGTAATCATCCATTAAAAAATATATAGAAAGGGCACCATCCAATTGTCCATTTCGGCTTGCTCCTCAATCTTGGCTCAGCTAAGATTTAGAATGTAATAGAGAACATATAATTATTCAAAACAATCTTAGATATTAACATTGCAGTATAATACAGAAGGTGGTTCATGTTCCTGGTGTGAGAAAAAAATGATTTTTTAATTACAAATAACTCCATCTTACCTGGAATTTTTTTAGCAGGATTAACTTTCTTAACGGGGATTGAATCTTCTTTTGCTAAGAGTGTTAACCTTAAACTTTTTAGTTTCTGTATTAAGCTCTCAATTCTTGTAGAATTCTTCTCAATTCTTTTCACTCTAAAAACAAAAGCAATTCAAATAATACATTACATCTGTTTCATCTCCTGTAGAGAGTTGCATATAACTTCAATAACTGAAGACTTATAAATGCCTTTGAGATTTTAGATATTTGAGTTTTAAGTATTTCCTTTAAAAAAATTATGCTATTAATGGAAGTTACTTAGCTTTGTATAACTTCATTGGGAATTTGGGGACAAAGCAAATGAATGAAGATGGTGGGGATATAGGCTGATAGGGCAAAACCTTCAGTTAAAAGAAAGAAAAGCTTGTTGTTCATCGTCCATAATTCCCCAGCTAGCACAGCCAATGGGAATGATTACTACCAGTAATGCTCAACTTACAACCACAATTGAGCCCAAAATGTCTCTTGCTAAGTGAAACATTTGTTAAGTAAATCTGGCCCCATTTTATAATCTTTCTTACCACAGTTGTTAAGTGAATCATTGCAGTTCTAAAGTTAGCAGCACAGTTGTTAAGTAAATCTGGCTTCCCCACCGACTTTACTTATCAGAAAGTCACAAAAGGTAATCACATGACCCGGTACACTGCAACAGTCATAAATATGAGTCAGTTGCCAAGCGCCTGAATTTTGATCCCATGACCATGGGGATGTTGCAAGTGTGAAAAATAGTCATAACTCACCTTTTCATTGTTGTTGTAACTTTGAAAGGACACTAAGCTTTTAGAATAAAATAGAACTACAGTATTTATTTGTACTAAGCATTATTCTGATAAATCATATTCCAGTGAACTTAAAAAATAATATAAAAACATTAAATTTATTCTTGGTCAACAAAATAATCTAACTAGTTTAAAGTAAGTAATGAATAAGCAAACATAAAATTAAAAGAAAATGTATTATATGCTTTGATTGAAAAAATAACTGACAAGAGAAAAATATTATTAATAGAGCATTTATAAGGATCCTCTTTTTCTTCCACTACATTGTATAGAGAATAGCCCTGCCTACTATAATCTGGTTGCTAATTCCAAAATATCTGGGAGAACCAAGTTTGGGAAGCACACCATAACCATTTCCTTCCACACTTTTCTTTCCGAACAGATCTCTGCTCTCCTCTAGTGGTATGCAGTTTGTAACCTTCTGGAAGAGTTTGTTCATATGGGACTTGGCCTATAGTGTCCCACAGGGTTCCATCTTTTCTCTTATGAATGTTCGTCACCTACATGAGATTAATGGGAAAGAATTCAAAATGCTAGAGTGGGTACCATCACTATACTGATGACACCCAGCTTTATGTATTGTGAATATCCCTTGATTTCTTCACTAATTCTCTCAAATTTTCTTCAATAAACTATGAAATCAATTATGATTTTTAATATATATATTCATCCCTTTACCATGTATACATATGAACAGGCTGTTTAAACAAACCAGCTTTTTTCCTAGGCAGATATTAATCATTTTCATTCATTCTTTGGTCTTTAAACAGCCCGCTTTTTTGTATTCTTTCATCCACCTATCTAAATAACAGAACATTGTTTTCTCTGGTTTGCAATCTTTTCTTGTTCTGTTGAAAACTGTAATTTGCTTGGAGCTCTTTCTCATAGAATAAAATCTTCTCCTCTGAAAAGTCTATTGAATCTTTTTCTCGAGGGATTCTCAATCTCGTTAGTATCCATGAAGAAAAAATCCCAAACATGTTCTCTTGAGAGTTGCAAATTTGCTTGAAACTCATTTCAGTTGCACTGAGCATTCAAACCATCTTCATAATTTAAATTGGTGTCAGGTTTGTATTCTAAAGTTGCAGTTAAGTCCTTTACATTGTCAGATATTTGTGAAATTGCCTCAGTGGTTTCATAATTTTCTACACATAATTGCATCTCTTGCTCTTTTTATATATCATCTAGATCATCTATATCTTTAGAACCTAATCAGTCTATAAAATGAATAATTTTCTGTAGAGAATTTTCAAAAACCTCCCTAAATATGCTCAAATTTGGCCATCTTCTTAGCTCCTTGTAGCGGTCAAAGGATATTTATTTATTTATTGATTGCCAATCAGAATTCATAAAAATCAGGGAATTTCAGCCACTCACAACAAAGCAATCAAGACTATAGGTTATTTAAAAATAATAAAATAAAACGACACCTTTCTATCCTTATGTTTTTCCATCAGAATTAAAAAGAAAAGATACTCCAGCTTCCTTATTTTAGCTTGCCTCCAGCAATCCTCTTCTAACAATAAAGAAGCCTCAAAAATGCTGCAGAGCTTCAAAAAGGGGCTGCGACTGAAGAGAGCCTCTTTTAGCTAATACAAATAATAATTTCATAAATTGGTTAAGAAATGAAAGGCATGATCTATTGACCATTTGAAATATAAATTGCAAAATGACTGCTTTTCCAATAATGAAGTGATTACAGTCCCACCCCCCCAGCTGAAGGGTTCACCAGCTGCTCCAAAGCACAGCTCCTGAAGCTTCTTGCAGAGCGCTGCTTTATGGAGGGTCTTGTGGGGTGATTCTAGGACTCTCCCTCTATATGTTGTCATAAAAACAAAAGGAATGCCTGTTCCTTCTGCTAGTAAGTTGAAAAAACAGCAATCCAGAGAGAGAAGCCTTTCTGGGCATGTCAACCATTGGCCATGTTCACAGGAAGTCTCCTGATTTTCAATCTTTCAGAGTGTTGCAGTTTTTTCCCAAATCAACCTCTGATTCTTCCATTATCACCATTCAGTGGAGTATATCACTTAACTATACCCAACCAACGGTGCCATGGAATTATTCTGCATTTTGTGGTACACTAATATGCTGCAGATATGTCCTTTTCATGTCAAATTTACTAGCTATCACTATCTGGTAGCGTGCAAACTCCAATGTAATTCTATTTGGTTATCTGTAGTAGTGTTAGATATTATGAGCATATCTGACATATAAAAATAGCATTTCTTGCTTATTTGCCTTTGTTTTCCTAAACCTAACTTACGTTATATATAATATTCATTCTGTAAGCATCCACAAAGATGCAAATACTTTTTTAAAATGAAAAAAACACCACACAATATTAGCAATTTCAAATCAGATGTCACTATACGAGAGATTAGTTCAAAATTGTGCCTTGAATACCCCACACCTGCAAAAGAGCGAAAGAGGTTCTTACTTTTCTTCCAGCTGAGTTATTCTTTTCTTATAATACATTAAAGTTGAAGATTCACATGCTAACATTTTTAATTTTCCATGAAGATAAAAGGCATCATGCTGGCCCTTCTTTATTGCTTCTATAAAAGCATCATATTCTTGCTTGATTGTGGTCAAAATGCTTTTGTATGCATTAACATGCTCAATTATCTGTTTTAATAATACAGAAACTGATTACATGTCATCACTGTTGAATAGTGATACAACAAATAAATAATGATACAATAAAAGGAACTGACCTTACTGCAGGTTAAAAGAGTCTTTCTGAATTAAAACAAAAGAAAATTTTAACACACCATCCCATTCCCCATCATTGGTTAAGTAGTTGCTTCTGGAAAGTCCATTAGCAGGAAATTAATGCAATTATTGTTTCCTCTTATTCCTCAACAACTGCCTACATATTTCTAAACCCAAAATTTCAAAAATAAATCATAATAAAGTTATATTAGCACTTTCCCTCATCAGACAAAACATCTTAAAACTCATAGAAGAGGATGGAACAACCAGAATGTCAAGAGCAAATCAGCACTTTCAGAAGGCCGGGCAAGATTTGTTTTAAGTGAGAGATTGAAGAAAGAAGAGAGTGTGTCACACCCTATATTTCTTTTTTATCTTTACGAGAGATGCCACATTTTTCTAGGCTGCTCCTCAAAGTGAGTAAGGTCTAAATAGCAAATACAACAAGAATGCAGCTTGTATCCTGTTTGAGCTACACCACCGAGTCAAGCATGCCAGAAACCGGGCCAGGCAAACAAGCGAAGCTCCGTCCACAGGATGCAGGCAGCACACAAAACCACGCCCTCTATGGTTTACGGGAAAACCTCTCTCCATGGAACTGGTCCCTGGTGCCCAAAAGTTTGGGGGCCACCACTCTAGATAATTTACACATCCAGAAAAATAGTACCAGATTTGAGACCTAATATGACTAAATGGAAAATAATTTAATTCTGATTGCTTTTCCAACCATTTTTAGTTTATGGCCTTTTTTAACAGCTTAGGGGAAACAAATCTATAATCCCCCTTCTTCTCATGCATTAGTGGAAAAACAAAACCTTTAAAATGCCAGTTTGCCAAATGCCTCTTTCATAAGCATATTTATCAAACCAAAATATTAGGCTATGTAGAACAGCCAGCAAATCCAAATGCCTTGCTTGAGGGCTTGTTTCTCAAAGTAACATATTGTGGTCCAGCATCTATGATACACTTGGTGGTCTCTGAGGCTATCTGCCATACTTAGAGCAAGGATCGCTCAGAGTGAGATAGGAAGATCAAGAAAGCTGTAGGATGTGTATGCAAGTTCATGTGTTGGGAAGAAAATTGAGTCTGTAACCTCTCATCTCAGATTGGTCATTTTACATTGACAATATTATTAAATTATTATTATTATTATTAAACAATAATGTTTACTTCTATTTATATAGCTGACCATCTTACAAAATGTGACTCTAGGTGGTATAAAATAGAAAAACTAACAACATAAACAATATTAAGAACATTCTACAATTTAAAAATATCAATCAGCATTATTATTAACAGACTAGCAGAGGATTCAGTGTTATAGGAAATGAAGTCGCCTCACTAGTTCATGCTAAATATTATTATTGTGCACTGATTTCAGCATAAGTCAGACAATATACCAAAGCCATAAAAATCACACTCATTGATCATGAAAATTAGAATATCTTTAGAAGTGTTTAGTTACCATTTCAAATACATTTCTGTATATTATGTAATAATCCTCTGCTGGTCCTTGCTCAGTACACCCCACGTTTTCAATCTCTGAAATGATATAACTCTGAATGCTTTCCAGAAATTCCTTGTCAGTCTCTGGGATGATGGGAGGAAGCACTGAGTGTTTACTTGCTCCAACACTAGCTGATTTCATGGTGCAGAAGCAGAAGATACCTAATTTCCGTTGCAAATAGCAACTAAAGTGTCAGTCCTTTACTCTGATCAGAAGGCATGCTTCAGTCAAAATCTAAAAATAATACCACATCAATAAAAGAAATGAACATTTCATCTAACACATCAACTTTAAGGATGCTTTCTACATGGCTTATTCCCAGGTAAACAAAGGACCATAAACTAAATCTAACTGCAGTGCCCCTAGTGCTATATTACATTCAATATGGAGGAAGAAGTTGTGTGCAATAGCAAGGTTTTGCAGATCTTAAGTACCTATTGTTGAATTCAATGATAGTAAATTATCAGATAAGTGTGGATTGCTGAATAAGAAACTGAATCATAAGTTAGGAACAAAATATTTCCAAATCTGAATCTAACAAAGCTGAAAGGACTTTAAACATTTATTTCTAGTATATTAAACATCCATTTTGAAATACTGAGACTGTCATCAACATCAAATATGTTGTTTCAGAGATATAATTATTTTCAGATAAATATCTGTCATCTGTAATACAGAATTGGAATATCTTATACCATAAAATCAATCATTTCAGACTCTAAGAAATGTTAAGTACAATTTAAGATTGGCTTGTTCAGAAAGAAATATTCAGGCTTACTGGACTTCTCAGAAGAAGTTAAAAAAGGTTGTCTAATCAGTCTATTCTGCAGATGTAATAATTACAATTTTACAAAGTTATTACAATAAGACGTAATAACTTTGAAGGAATGTTAAGAGCATAGACTTGCATGTGTCCAGCGATGGTTCTTTATTGTAAGATTTTATTACAATTATAATGGTAATACTATGACAAGCCAGTTGTCCACTGAAGGCCATTCCAGAAGAAAGGCTCTGTCACTGAAAAGCAGGGCTGTCACACCTCACTCCCACTTACCTCCCTAAAAGACGGAACTAGTATCAGCTCCTTAGATTGGCAGGGCCAATTCCATGCACTAGCATTTTAAATTCCACTCAGAAGTCTATTGGCAACAAGTATACAGTAGTGTATTATATAATCAGTAAGAACATGGGGTGCTGCACTCTGAACCAAATGCGGCTTCTGAGAGACCTTCAAAGACAGACCCAAATACTGCAAATTGCAGTAGTCTAAATCAATGGGGAAGATAGCATCTCTCATTGTAGCAACACCTTCTCACCACAGACAGGAAAAATCACAACTGCCATAACAGACAAAGCTAGGCAATGGTCCACCTGGCTATGGCTTCTCCTGCAGACTTGCTCCATTAGGAATAATACCCAATATCAAGAGACACAGCTGGAGCAGACCAAGAGTTCTAATGGGCAAACAGTAACTCCATCTTGCTAGGTAGGGTTCAATTTAATCCTATTTTCTGTCATCCAGATCCTCACAATCTCCTGGCACTGAGACAGGATTTCAGCACCATCACCATTCTACCCTGTAAGAGCAATGTAAAGCTGGGTATAATCAGCATATTAATGATCAATTCCAGACTGCTGAATCGTGGTTTCCAGTGGCTTCATGAAAATGTTAAAAGGAGATTGGGATGGCTGGAGAGGATCAGTCCCTGTGGAACCTCACAAAAGAGTAACCACTGAGCCAATTCCCACTCCACCACAGCAACCAACCAATGCCACTCCCTCAAGGTTAATATAGGACAGTGGTTCTCAACCTTTTTAATGCCGCGACCCCCAACCGGTCGTAAGTCGAGGACTAAACCGGTCGTAAGTCGAGGACTAAACCGATCGTAAGTCGAGGACTACCCAACTGGTCGTAAGTCGAGGACTTTCCCTGCCCGGGAGCGCCGCGCATGCGTGGTTCCGCCCCCTGCGCCGGCCGAGGCGTAGCTGGCAAGCGGCAGAGACGGAGCAGGCCGACCACCAGCTGGCCCAGCCCAAGGGAGGTAAGGCACCCGCCAGAAAAGGGGAAAAAAATGGCGGACAGCCTTGCTTGGCGACCCCCGTGAAATGGTCGATCGACCCCAAATGGGGTCGCGACCCATAGGTTGAGAACCGCTGATATAGGAGGTAATGTAGGTCCCCAGCTCCCTCCAGCTTAATGTAAGATGTAATGTAGGTCCTCAGCTGGGCAGATTTTGGATAATAGCATCATGACTTTTGTCTAGCCAGGTCTCAGTAATGTACACCAGATCTGTGTATTCATCCACCAACTCATGACTGGATGCAATCTCATTTCAGAGAGACTTGGCATTTACCAGTAGCATGCTAAGATCACATAAGCAAACAGGTACACAATCATCGCCAAATATTTGTGGTCAATTCTTAGTCTTTGGACTGGCATTGTATTGATGGGAGAACAGACAGTATGATCCGATGACATAAGTTTAAACAAGTCAAACAATTTTCTGCTTTAAAAACTGAATTATAACAACGAATATAAATAGTATTTTGATATGTGGAAAAGTGAAAGTTTCACTTACAGTATATTATTGGTAATTTTTGTTATTGTTAATGTCAAAAGTATTTGAGGTATTTTTAAAAAAAATGCATTGTTTTCTTTAATAAATATATGTTTTACTCTTACTAACATTTATTCTGTTGTTTAAAAACTAAATGGAAATTATTTTTTAAAAAACTATTAGAGGATAGTCTGGAATCAATTTATCTATTTTACTTCCTATACATCATTTAAACATTTTAGACCTTTGGAAACATTTCTGTAACACCATTTTTGGCTAATAATACTTATGTCTGTGTAGAGCTTCAGCATCACAATGAAGGACGCCATCTGCCTTTTCCTAGCAGCCACTGGCTTCTAAGGCAACTATCTCAACGCAAGGCCATCAGCTCTTTTTCTCGCTCTCACGAGAGGCCGTTAAGAAAGCAGCCTATTCGTTTCTCTCCCGATGATGCCAAGGAAGACCCACCTCTTTCATCCAACTAACTCTCCTAGAAGCCAACTAATGGTAGCAACAAGGCGGAATTGTTAATCAGGAAGGGAGGAAAAACTAGCGGCCTTCGGGGGACTGATGGGAAGTGTAGTTTTCCTCCACACTTCCTTTCTTCCTCTTCCGGTCTACTTAACATTCGGCTTAGAATTCTGATGATTCTTCCGCGACTTATCGGCCGTAGCCTTTCTCCAATAGGCGCGGCCGTTTAACCAAAACTACTATTCCCATCATGCTTTTCAATAATTTCGAAAGGAAACAAGTACTGGATAGTGTAGTCCTACGGTGGCGACGCATGGCCCCTTCTGCCTTGTTTCAAGGCTGGGAAACCCCGTGCTCAGTCGAGCAGCCTCTCTTTCCGGCGTCGGCCATTCTGAGAGCGGGTGGTGGGTGAGCGCTTGGCCTACTTCGAATTTCTTTTTTTTCTCTTAGGGTTGGCATTGAGCGAAGCCTTGATTTTTCGCTGTTTATTCCCCTCTAGGTAGAACCATCACTAGGCGCTCTACCGCCGCCATGCAGATCTTCGTGAAGACCCTAACGGGGAAAACCATTACCCTCGAGGTGAGGAAGGCAGGAGATGGGATGGGTTTCGGCCAGGCTGGTTAGTCTGCGGATCTCTAATCGGTGCTCTTTTCTAACCGGTTCCCTTCCCCTTTCTACCTTTCTGTTGCTGTCTTTTGGAGTGGCGATGGGTATTTTGTCCTGGGATTGTTAGATTGAGGAAAAATGGTGCCTCTCTGCAGAATAGAAGGCTCTTCCTCGTGATCGTTGAAACGAGGAAATGAGCGGAAAGAATTGGTATTTTCGTCAATTGAATAATGCTATAAAGAAGTAAATAGGAAGACTATAATTTTTGCAGAGGCTTAAAGGATTAAGACAAAGATGGCATTGGTTGGAAAACTGAAGGTCTATACAGGAAATCCAGAAGATGGAGAGTTTACAGTGTTCAAATTTCTGCTCCGTTTTTTTCATACACAAAAGTCCCGAAATAGTTGCAGATTTGATTTAGTGCTGTTTCTAGTGTGTAGGTAAAAAAGCGGTTACAGCAAAGGCAGAAAAAGAAGTTACAGCAAAGGCCTCTTAGCATGTTCTGTAGTAGCCAACCCACAAGAAAACATAAGGGCAAACAGTTTCTTTTGTGTAATGCAAATTAATTTAATCAAATGAACTTTTGTTCCTTGTGTAATGCTAGAAAAAGCTTTACCTGCTTTTTGCCTGGAGATTAAAAATACTGAAATAACTAAAGCTTTGAAATGGGATAAATTGCTAGAATGGAATATTTGATTTGTGTCATGTTCTCAGCCCTTACTTTTACACCCAATATCCTGTGCTACCCTTATGACTCCCTTATAGGATTTATTTTATGCTATTCCTATTTTATATACTTAATGATATTGATACTGAATCTAAGCCACCCTGAGGAAAACCTTCTTTTGAAGGGCAGCACATAGTATTTTAAATTACAAAATAAATATTATGAATATACTATTTCTGTAATGTTTCCCTGTTTGTTTTATTGCTTTTGCGTTTCCTCAACTTTTGTGCATTTGATATGTAATGAATCATGTTAAAGCTTTGTCATTTTGGTAAAAAAAAATCTCTTAATTCCAAATATAGGGATACAATTAGGGCTTAAACTGAATTTTAGACATGATAACTCTTGGTAGAATTGAAGTTATGCCAAAGGCAACAGGTACTACAAGAAGTACTTTTAAGATGAAACAGTAAAGCATTGTATAGTCTAATAGACTTGTTTAATTTGACCGTATCTTAATAAGCATATAAAGCCAGAATTGAGAAATCAGCAATAGCTGTAAATATTAAAAAAGGAAGAAGCTAAAATTCTGTAGAATTCAAACAAACATCTGCAACACAACACCCCACCAAAAACAATTAAGAATTGTTGGTAAGAAAGACAAAAAAGTCTGGACACTGGACAGTGCCAATACCTGGAGTAGAAGAGAAGGAACTGGAGAAAATCACAAAATGCAAGCACCTGCAAATGGAAGTTGAACAATTGTGATGAAAACAACTATAGTACCTATAGTAATAGGCATCTTGAGTGCAATTTCAAAAAATGGAATACCATGTGAATATGAGCATTGATAAAATCACTATTAGTCAATTGCAAAAGGCATTTTTACTTGGAATAGTAAAAAGAAACATGAAACATCTGACTG